CAGTAGTTATACAGATAATTTCACAGAAGTTTAAGTGCAAGGGCAATGGGATTGAGAATGCCTGTAGAGATGGAGTGGGCTTTTTTGATCAGGCAGTGGGGGGATTCCTAGTTGATGTAACATTGATTTAAAATCTAAATAAACTCTCAGGGAGCCTGGGTGGCTCAGTCGGTTCAGCATCTGACTTTGGCCCAGGTCATGACCTCATGGTCCATGAGTCTGAGCCCTGTGTTGGACTTGGGCTCCGTGTTGACAGCTCAGAGCCTGGAGCCTGCTTTGGATTCTATGTCTCCCTCTCTCTCTGCCCCTCCCCTGCTTGTGCTCTCTCTCTCTCAAAAATAAATGAACATTATATAAATTAAAACTAAATAAACTCAAACATTTTAAAACCTAGATGTGATAGTTGCACAGCTCTGCAAGCATACTAAAAAAGCACTGTATTGTACACTTTGAATGGGTAAATTGTATGATGTGTGAATCATGATCTCAATAAAGCTTTTTTTTTTTTTTTTTTTAAATCTGAACAAAGAAGAGCAAGCAAGGTGAAGAGCATTCTAGCCAGAGGGAACACCAGTACAGAGCCCCTGAGGCTGGAAAGGGCTTCAGTCAGTGCAAGGAAAAGAAAGAATGATGGTGGGTGGGTGTGTAGTGAGGGAGACAGAAGTCATTAATGGTTAATATCTACACCTGGGCGGGGGGGGGGCAGGGATGACTAGGTAGGACCTCGTGGGCCATGGTGAATATTTGGGATTGTGTACTAACCGCAATGGGTAGCTTTTGAAAGAATTTAACTGGAGAAGTGATAACCGGTTTGTGCTTTGTAACGCTCGCTGCTCTGTCTGTCTGGCTAGAGAATTTATAGGAGGCCCAAGGTGTAGGCGAGAACAGCAAAGGGGATGCTCTATAACAGGGAGAATGAAGGTCCTAGATCTTCCAACAGTGAGTTAGTCTTCAGTTCCCTAAACCTGACCTTGATGATCATGTAACATTATTCTGAGAGCAGAGATGTGACTGGAAATGGACCCATAGCAGAGGGGCCCATAAGAAGTAGGGAATTTATGCGCCTTCACTACCCATAAAGGAAAAAGATTACTGTAGGGTCCTGAAGTTGACCTTGCCATTGATTTACAGTATGTTGGATTATTCCTATGGGAAGGTTTCTGGATTTTCAGCTGCCCTCTCCTGGGCCTCAGTTCACCCATCTTTTCCCATGTCAACCACTGCTCAGAACCATTTTGAATCACCTCTGTCTTTCTTCCATATATGAACTCAGTCAAAATTTGAGAACTAGAACCCACAAGAAGGAAAGCATATGGCAGACATTAATCTGTAATTAATCTGTAAATTCTATAAGTCAGGCAATGGTGATGCTGTATGTGAATAATTAGAAGCCTGGCCTTTGGAGTCAGACACAATGACTTTTAATTCCAAGTTGTGCCATTTATTGAGTGACTTAACGATAGTTCTAAATTTTGTTCAGTAAAGCTAAGGATAGCAGTACCTATGCTTCAGTAAGTCTTTAAATGAATTGATACTTGTAAATCACTTAGCACAATCCCTGATACACAGTAAGCACTCCAGACTGGTAGCCTCTATTGTTATTATTATTACTTATTATAATAATTAGTAAGTCTGTTACTTACACAAAGGAAAAAATAAACATTTTTAAGAGATTAAATAAATAAACAATTTATTTATTTAAAGTAGGCTTCCCACCTGGCATGGAGCACAACGCGGGGCTTGAACTCACGACCTTGAGATCAAGACCTGAGGAGCACCTGGGTGGCTCAGTCGGTTAAGCATCTGGCTTCGGTTCAGGTCATGATCTCAGGGTTTGTGGGTTCTAGCCCCGCTTCGGTCTGTGTGCTAACAACTAGCTCAGAGCCTGGACCCTGTTTCAGATTCTGTGTCTCCCTCTCTCTCTGACCCTCCGTCCCTCTCTCTCTCTCTCAGAAATAAATAAAAACATGAAAAAAAAAAAAAGATCTGAGCTGAGATCAAGGTTGGATGCTTAACTGACTGAGCCAGCCAGGCACCCCTGAAGTGTACTTACCTTTAGAAGACATGAACTTGTGAACTCCTACGTGATGTTAAAATGATCATACTCCATGTGATCTGAGATAACATCTCAATAAATCAATACTCCATGTAATGAGATAACATATTAATAAGACATCAATTTTTTGGGTAATAAATTTAGCTTAAAACAAATGTTAATAATTATAAAATCTTTAGTGAATTCTTCATTTGGGAACCCAGAAAGCCGTAAATAAGTCCCTTCATAAACTATTCCTAATTATGAACTATTGGGGAGTATTGAGTTGGATACTCTTAATAACCCAAAATGAAAACTCAACTCCCCTGTTCCATATGGAAGAATGATCACATACATTATCTTAGCACTATCTGAAGAAATACTAGGTACACAGAAAAATTCACATTTCCAGAAAAATTTAATGACTTTGTAACATGTTATATTCCAAGTCAAACAGTAGAGTGTGAATAACATATGCGTTGTTATCTTGAGAATTAAGAATATTTAGAAAAAAAGATGAAATAAAACATGTCAAAACTTTAATAATTGCAGATTTGGGGTGGTGGACGCTACCGTGATTTTTCTGTTTATTCTTTTCTCTCGTTTTTTATCTTTTCTCATGTACACAGATTCTTTCATAAGAATGATAAGAAAATGATAAGGTTCACGTTGGGAAAACGAGTGAGCTGGTATCCCAGTGGAGGGAGACAGCTGGTTTGAACATGCTGCTCCCTACACACACACCCGAGAAGTCTGCTTAGGACCTGGAACCGAGTTCTGAGTTGAATGCACTAAAAGGGACACGTGCTTTTCAGGTTCTGATGCTATTTACTCAGGTTTGTGACATGTGTATTGGAAACCTATCAGGAGCCTTGGGAGGGCCTTCACCTCTACCAAACCATAAGTAGTACTGATTTCATCCTTCGGTACAAGGGTTTAACACCAACAAAAATTGAAGTCTATTCAAGAGAACAGAAAGGAAGGGGGGAGAATGTCAGTACGTCTGCTTCCTGGTGGCTTTTTATCCTCTTTGGTGATTGGTATATACAAACAACTACACGCAGACTTTTGTGGTAGGGAGCCCACCTGTCCACCTCGCCTGGTGTGCCATTTCCCCATCTTGCATCTGCAGTCGTGTGGAGGGGAGGGTTCCTGAGTCTGGGAATCAGATATCTGTCCTGCTCATGCCTCACGCGGACAGCAGACCATACGTCTTCTAAAAGGGAGGCAGTCTCTTTGAAATATCCATGACAGGCACCACTTTTAGCAATCATGGCCAGCCTTCCAGAACTCTAGAAGCAGTGGCAGAGGAGTATGAAATACGCATAGCCAGCGATTTGGTCTATAAGCATTCAGCACATCATTGTCCTTTAACGGAACTGCTCTGATCAAAATCTTTATGGGTTTTTGTTTTTTTAATTTTTTAAAGTTTTATTTATTTATTTATTTTGAGAGAGAGAGAGAGAGAGAGAGAGTGAGGTGGAGGGGCAGAGAGAGAGTGGGAGGGACAGAGGGAGAGGAAGAGAGAGAGAATCCCAAGCAGGCTCCACACTGCCAGTGAGGAACCCACTGCGGGGCTCAAGCTCATGAAACCACAAGATCATGACCTGAGCTGAAATCAGGAGTCAGATGCTTAACCAACTGACCGAGCCACTCAGGTGCCCCTATAATTTTTAGATCTCAGGATCTAGTATTTTTCCTTTCAGAGAATAGCTTTTTTCCCGCCCAAACTATTATAGGAAACCAAAGTGCATTAACTGAGTTAATGAAATTTAATTCCTTACTTCAAGTTCTAAGAGGAGAAAAGCCTCTTTGAAGGAAATCTTTGTTATGATGGCTTTGGCTTAAAGAAGAGGCCTCGACTGTATGGATACTGATGACCTCGACTGTGTTATTATACACATCCCACTGGTCAAAAGTCAGCTTCTTTAAGAATAGGACCTATTGCACCTTTAGCTAAAATTTGAGTTTTTCATTAGAGTAAGATCATGCCTGACATTTCAAAAAGCTTAACAGCAAACAGAATGATTAATCACATTCATAAATATGCAAACACATTCAAACCATGATATTAAAAGGGTATATTACCTTTGAGACAAAATGGCAAAACCAGAATTTTTTAATTGCCAAGAATTTTATGTAGCGAGTTTATTTATTCAGTAACATAATAAAATAGGAATATTACATTGGCAGAAGTGGATTTAAGGAGCATAAAATATTGTTTTAAAATGGGAAAACATTGGGATCATTTTCAGGAACCTCCTAGAAAACTTTCCATTTATAATGCTACTTTTTCATAACTAATAGGAGTAATATGCAGCCTTTCTAGAATACAAGGCGATCACGGTACCTAAGTAGTACATGCATTCCACTGCATACTCAGACACTATTATAGAGAGGTACTTTTCTAATTACTTAAGCAATGGTTTTCAGCTCATTCAGTGCTTTGTCTAAACAGCATTAAGACATATGAAAAAGCAAACAATTATACATACTTAGGTATAAAACATTTCGGTAAGCAATTATCCAAATTCACTCATTAAATTAGAACACTAACTGCTTCGTGTGTAAGCCTAGTTTGAAGTGATGACTCACCTCTGATGAGACTTCCCCAACTTTAAAAGTAGCTTTAAAAAATGAGGTTGGAGGGGGGGTAAATTACCAGTATATTCAGAAACACAGCCAAAACAAAGAGATTTGGATTCGAAGACAGAATTCAGAAGTGAACCAACTATTTTTGTACATTAGATTAATTGCTTCTTTGTTCAAAATTCCAAACCCAGGTGATATTAACCATACGTATGATGCATGACATCCAACCAAACTGGCACTTGAAGGAAGTTACTGCTTAATCTAAAGGAAAGAGGTCGCCACCAGACTCCTGCATGGGGGTTAAATTCCTTATATTAGTAAAGTAGGCTTTCAGATTCCCTAGCTTTTGATACTTTGGAATCTTTTGTGTTTTCCCTGTAGATAAATCTAAGACAAGCTGTAAGATTTGTGAGGACACTTACCCTCCCACTTGGACAGTAATATGTGTTAATTCTAATACTTATTATATAAATAGAGCAGATCTGACTCATTTAGTGGGCAAGCCCCACATTCTGAACTATGCAAGTCAAGCTAGACTCTGTGGCAAATGATTCGTTTTCTCAGCAGGTTATTAAGGTGATCTGCAATAAAGCAATTCTCACTTAGCCTTTGGCCATAGCCTGAGTCTTTAAAACAAAGTTCTAAACTGTAGATCACACAAAATGGTATAATTTCCTTAGCAGGTGGTTAAGGGAATCTTCAGTGAAAATGCAATAGAGAGAATATGAGTTTTAAGAAGTCTCATTGAGTTAACGAAGCTCTCCCTTCCAATCCATCATATTCAGTGATCCAAGAAACTGAATTGGAAATAGAAATAAAGCGTCTGTGTAGTTAAAGGCATGAAATTCCACGATGTTCCTTAGACTTCTCGCTCTTATTTCCAGAACAGGAAGGGATTCGAGATAACAGTATTACTTCATTTCTTTAGAGGGAAGTAGATTTAAAAAGTTCTTACCTCTTTAGAACTTTTTACAGTGTTGATTAGTGCTCATCAGAAAATAAGTGAGATCACTGCATTCGTTTGCATATGCAAATTAAGCTGGGAAATCCATAAATACATATTTATCCCCAGTAAACCAATCAGTACAGCACAATACAACATAAAAGAGAGGGAATCTTACTTCATATACATATGTAAGAATAAAAGCATTTTAATAAAAAAGTCTATCATTTTTATTTTAAAAAAAGCTTTCCATTTTAAACATCATCGTTACTCAAAAGTCACACTGAAAATACTATCAATAAATGCCTTTATGATTTCAAGTAAATGACTTTCCTTATTGTGAAGATTTGCTTTCAATCATCTTTTTTGTCTGAGGTGCTCTCGTCAAGATTTTCGGGACTGACTTTATTGCTGGCCATCAAGGGAGCTGCCTGGACTTCTTTCGGCAATGAAAAGACATGGCACGTCTGGAGGTCTAAGTAGGTTGTAAATATCTTAGCATATTGTGGATGCTTTAGGGCAAAACATTTAAATTCCTCTAGAAAAGAGAAAAAAATCCAATAAATAGAGACAAATCTTTTGGCATGACGCAGATTAATATAGGACCTCCATGATATGATTATTGCAAAACCCTATTACTCGACTCTTACAAATTATACAGCCACTTTGGAAGATAGGTTCCCCATCCTCTAGGAGAACTGAGGATGTACCTGCTCCATGACCTGTTGATTCTATTCCGAAGTACACAACCTAGAGAAATTTGTGCTTGCTGTTTTCTGGGAGACAGGAATCGGAATGTTTACAGCGATATTAATTATGACAGGTGAACAGTGGAAATGACTCAAGTCTATCAACAGCAGAAATGGTGATGCACAGCTGGACGGCAAAGAAGATGAACAAACAGGTGTGTTGTAGCAATGTGGACGGATCTCAAAGCCACAATGTTGAATGAAAACAGCCAAATACAAAAGAACACGTTTGTATGAGTCCATTATATGAAGTTCGAAAACTCAGCCAGAGCTAACACATAATATTTAAAGATTGTACTTTTGTGGTGAAATGCTAAAAAGTAAAGCAAGGTAGAGAGTCCTTGAACATCAGGTTAGCTAGGCACGTCTGGGTAGCTCAGTAGGGTGAGCGTCTCATCTTGACTTTGGCTCAGGCCAAGATCTCATGGTTTGTGAGAACGAACCCCATGTTGGGGGACTTTTAAAGTCAGGTCAGTCATGCCTGCTTTAGGAGAGAAAAACGGGTCGTCCCTGGGAAGGTGTACAAGGGTTTCCTAAAAAGCTCTATTTCTCTCTTTTTTTAAGTTTATTTATTTATTTTGAGAAATGAAGAGACAGAGAGAGAGAGACAGAGAGAGCTGGGGGGGGGGGGAGGGCAGGGCGATTGGGAGAAAGAAATTCCCAAGCTGACAGCGCAGAGCCCCATGCAGAAATTGAATACATGAACCGTGTGTGATCATAACCTGAGCCAAAACAAGAGTCAGGCTCTCAACTGACTGAGCCCCCCAAAAAGCTCTATTTCTTGACCTGAACAGTGGTAACATAAATATTCACTCTACAAAAGCTTGTGATGCTCTATGTTTATGTTTCATTCAATTTTCTGCTATTGCTCATGACTTTTTATTACTGGCTTTTCAAATTATTTTATCCTTTAATTCTGGCAGCCACATTCACAGTCTTGAGAAGCTGGGCCCTGACATGTGATTGATAAAGACAAGTAGAGGGTACAATGTATAATCATCATATCATAAGACCCCTGAGCGTTTGCCTCTTTCTATCTTTGGTGCTTTGGATTTAGGAACTGAGGGGGAGGTTTAGAAGGCTAACGAAGTTAACCATCAGAGTTTGAACGTCAAGCCTCCGATAACCTGAAGTTTCTGAAGTATGATGCTACCCTCAGTTCTGAAGTCCCTCTACCCTTTTTTGTTTGGATGGAGAAAACTTTACTGAGGAAAAGGAGCCTAGGCTTCGAATCAGTGAGCTGTTCAAATAAAAGGATTTTTAACCCCATGTTCTATTTCTATTTATTTTTTAAAAATCCTTTGATGACCCGGAGTCTATTTCACAGCACGTTAGACTAACTAGCAACTCCTGGAGAAAGAAATAGGTCTCAGAGATGAGGAAGCTGCCAGACTGAGCCCGAATCATGCTTTGCAACAGCAATAGTAATTTGCATTCGTAGACCACTTTCTGTTTCCGAATCAGGCGAGCTATTAACATGTTCTTTGAATGTTCTTTCTTAACATCCAAAACAAAGATTCATCTGCAGGAGTCTGTCTCAGTGATGAAGGCACAGAGGACTTACGTGACTTTTATGGAAAGTGAACAGGAGAGGTGATCTACTGAAACCAAGGTCTGTCTTTCAAGACCTGTGCTCAATCAGAAAAGTCAAGGTCTCTGTCCTCTTTGGGGACGTCACTGACATTAAAAAGTGACTCCTTTCTAGAAGAAGTGCTGTGAACTGGCTAACCTGTGGAATTTGGGCATGAATTTGGCTAATGGAAAACCGAGAAGGAAAACTATTTAAATGGTCACATCCTGATACATTTCAATAGCTATTCTTTTATAAAATCATACTTAAATGCCTCCAAACAGTCCTGCAAAAAAAAAAAAAAAAAAAAAGGAAATTGGGGGAAGGGAGATATTCTGTCTTCTCAGAAAGAAAAAGATTAAACACTGAAAAACAAAGCAGATAAAATTATTAAAATTGACGGGTAAAGTTATGACTACCTAACAAATCATTTTTGGCGTAACTTCCACTGAAATAGTTACTCCAAATGGTTATTCAGAATTTGGCCGCTCAGAGCAATAAACAGTCTTACTTGTGAAAGGAAAATGGTTAGAGAATTCGCACACATGGGGCTTATGACTCATACATTTTATCTCAGGATGTACTTATTGTTCCTCCTTCCTTCCCTCCCTCCCTCCCTCCGTCCCTCCCTCCCTCCCTCCGTCCCCCCCTCCCTCTCTCCTTCTTCCCCTTCCTTCCTTCCTTCCTTCCTTCCTTCCTTCCTTCCTTCCTTCCTTCCTTCTTTCCTTCCTTCCTTCCTTCCTTCCATGAACTCATTAGAGTAAGTGCCCCAGGCATTTAATTACCTAAAATAGAATGAAGGGCAGGCAGAATGATAATAATTAAAACCAGAGAGTAAAAGAAGTTTGTGATCTAATTCCCTCATCCCATGAAAGTTAACAAGCTGAAACTCTTTGCATGCTAAGGAAAGAGGCCTTCAAGAGGAATCCCCCTGCAGCCTGCAGGAAAAGGCGCGGGGACTTAAGCCACCTTGATGTGAATGGCACAGCAAAGCCAAGGGCAAAGCAAGAGTCACCTGGGGCCTCTCCACTCAGGTGTTTCTCGGTAAACGTATTGGGAAATGCTTGGAAACGGAGGCACTAGCCTTCAGCCCTAGGGGGCTTGTTTTGACGTGTGGACTCAAGCCATCCGGAGAAAGCTTGGTCACTGATGGCTGCACCAGCCATTTGGCCACAGGGTCTTCTTCTGCCTTGATGGTCCCAACTTCGCAGGGGTGCCATCGACATGGGAGAAAACGAACCCACGTGAAAGTTTACCTAAGCTGCTAACGGTGAACACCAAGAGACGCTTTAGCTGCTACCATCCATGCTGGTTCCCCAGTCCCTACCCCTCTACTGTGGTCACACCTGCTTCCGTTGACTTGCTCAGTTTTGCTTGGCCAAGGAGATAGCACAAGGGAAAAGGCCCTGCCAGGAGGGGCAGCAGGTGACAGGTAAGGCGGGGAGGGCAGAGGTCCAGGCTCTAAAACCAGACTATCCTGGCTTTTGAATCCTGCCTCTGACACACTCTAGCTGATGACCTTGGGTAAGTTATTTAAATTCTATGCATCTCAATCAAATAATAATTAAGAATGCTGATTAAACAGGCCTGCAATAAAGATTTATTAAAAAATGTTTAGAAGAGCGCTTAGCATCTAAGCCCTTGGTTATTAGCTACTCCCATACCACTACTCCTATTATTACTGTAAACATCATTATTGCCCTTATTTCTGTTAATAGAATTAGTGGCCTTCCGCTTGAGTGTCCGTCCGAAGTCAGGAGGCCTCCGGGTAAACGAAAGCGGAAACCAAGCTGCCTACTCACCATAGGACACAGAATCTCCCTGGGCTATTTCCTGGAAGAGACCAGAAACATCCAGGTCGGGCACCCCGAGGGAGGCCTGCAAAATGGTGGAAAACTCTTCCTCTGTGATGTAGCCATCCTCATCAAGATCAAAGAGCTGAAGGAAGAAGAAGATAAAATAGAAGACTGAGTGCCAGCAGGATGGAAATGGTGTGGAGGAATTGCAGAAAACCGTTAATAATTCCAACAGTGATCGTGCGAGCAAGGGCGAGCGAGATGTGCGTGAAGGAAGAATGCTCTCTGCTGCCCGTGCAGCTCCGGCGTGGAAAGAGACAGGATTAAGACATGAGAGACGACGACAGTAAGTTCTGGGGACGTGGGAGTCCTGTGGAGAACAAGAGGAATCCCATGGGAGACGTCAGGAGAAGCTTTACCCAGCTGACACGAGTTGGGTCTTAGAACACAAAGAGATATTCCTGGAACATACAAGCACTGGCAGGTGAGTGCCAGGGGCTCGAACCACGAGCCTGACAGACAAGCAGGACTCATGCCATGAGGGATGTGTGACGCCTCGCCTAACCCTGTGGGATTATGATGGTGGGGGATGCGTGGTGAATCCAGAGCATGGAGGATGGATTGGCGTCGGAAGGTTGGAAAGACTAGAGGCGGGAGAGCCAATTAAGAGTGTGGAGTGGAGGGGCGCCTGGGGGGCTCCGTCGGTTAAGCATCAGACTCTTGATCTCGGCTTAGGTCATGGTCTCACAGTTCATGAGATGGAGTCCTGCATCACCAACACGCTGTCAGTGGAGAGACTGCTTAGGGTTCCCTTCTCTCCCTCATCCTCTGCCCCTCCCCCACTCATGCTCGCACACACACTCTCTCTCCCTCTAAATAAACAAACTAACTTACAAAAAGAGTATGAGGTGGAGAAGCGGGAAGGGCAGGATGGGGCAGGATTTACAAGGAAGCAGAGGCAGAGCCCGTGGGGACGGACAGGACGGAGCAAGACCGGGCTGGGGTGCTCCAGCCTGGGCACCTGCGATGAAGTGGGGCACCCTGCCAAGCACGGGAGAACAGGTGCCCGGTGAGATCAAGAGCAGGACCTGGAGAGGTAAAACCTGAGCGGGAGGGGTCAAGGGGGAGGAGGAGATGAAGTAACGGCCCACAGGGTAGAACACCACAGCGAGGCCAGGCAGGAAGCCAGAAAGTTTGCTGGGTCTCGGAGTCAGGAGGTCTGGATGACTTTAGGACACACAGTTTCAGGGAACCAGAGCTCAGGTGGTGCTGGGAAACCAGGAATGAGGAGAGGTGAGCAGTGGAGGCAGCAGGCATGGGCTCTTCGGGAGACCGTGAGGTAACAGGAAGGAGGCAAACGGGGCATTGGCCAAGCACAAAAGGAGGCTGACAAAAACTCAGCGAGTTTATAGGCCGAGGGGAAAAGGCAGTAAGTGAGATAGGTTGAAAGTCAAGTGCCAAAACGGTGATCATTGTTAGATAATTAATACCCCATATTTAAAATCTTCTCTTGGGCATTAACGTTTTCAAATGATGTACGTACTGATTCTCTGCAGGCACTGATCAGAAGTGTTGTTTACTTGTGTTCACCAATTGCACCCTCACGGGGTCCTGGCCAGGGTAGGTGCCGGCATTAGCTCAATCTTCCGCACAAGAAAGCTGATGAGGCCTGAGACAGCTAGGTCACTTCCCCAAGGCCACACAAGTGGTCGGTGGTACCCCCAGCATCCAAATCCAGGCAGACAACAGTGCCTGCCATTAAGGTCTCTACTTCGACCAAACACACGATCAATACCAGAAAACCAACGGGCATTACAGAAGGTGTGATCATCGTGAACAACAGGCACAAGTTGACTAGTGTCTGAACTGTCCGTTAGTCTGGGAGGGGAACTCTGGCACTGGAGGGTGGTGATTTGCTGCCCGAGCTGAGAAAGCAGGGACTTCTCCATTTTCTGTTACTCAGCCCCAATATGAGGGAAAAGACAGTGCCACAGTGAAAAGTGAATTAGCGTTTGTTTACGCAGAGGGTAGCCCAGGGCTCAGCAGTGGGTCACACCCCGCTCCTCACAAGCGCTAAGCTTCCTTCCGAGGCCTTCCATTCCTAAACACTCCTCAGCAATTCATCTGTCACATTTGGTGCTTTGGTGGCTCTCCCTTCTGTGGAAATTCCCTTCACGTGTCCATACTAGGGGCTATTACATCTCTCCATCATGACTACTCCAGGCTGCGCCCCTCACTGAAATGTTCAATTTCCCTCAATTACTCATCGCTCCCAATAGTCTCCCTGCTGCAGAGTAAATCCCCCACTCCAGGCTCTGGTAGGAAGCTCAACACCCCAGTTTCCTCCGGGGGCGTGGTATCTCCCCTCCGCACGGAATATGGTGGGACTCTTACCCAAAACACCCTGTCTTTCCAGCAAGCACACGCTCTTTCCAGCAAGCCCAGTTGGACCCTCCCTGGACTGCAACAGAGGACATAATTGGAGTTGCTCATTCTAACTGCAGAGCAGTCCCTACAGCTGGCGCCTCTGGAGTCGCTGCCTCTAAATCCACCCTTGAGCCCCCTCCCCAGCCATATGGTGATTTTCTATGCCCATTGCTCACGGCTGAAGAACTCTACCTCCGCAGGCCACTGTGATTGTGGAATGAGGTCAAGGACAGGGAGTTAATTGGGAAGCGCTTCCCAAGTACAAGGATATGACAGAATCCTGTACGTATCAATGGATAACACTAAATGGAACATAAAATGTGGCAAAATATTTTTGAAACATCGAACACACCTGAAAAAGTTTTGAAAAATAACCAAAGGAAAGCAGGACCCTTGCCTTACAGGAAAAAGAGTTAATTATAGGTTCAGGTCCTCCTTGCCTGCCTCTGCACCAAACCGAGGTCAAGGCTAGAGAGAGAGATCTCAGGATGTCTTTAAAAACAATAATTACTGTGACTGAGGTCCAGATTTTCTACCGGGTCTTTCATCGGTGAACCAAAAGTGACCGTTTGCTCAGCCAAACTTATTATTATGGATGCAGTCCCAAAACAGAAACAGAAATATCTGGATTGGAATCAGTTAGCTATGTGTATAATTTTAGGTTTTGTGATGAATAAGTCCGTAAAAGCCAAACGTTTTAAACTTGGAAAAAGTTCTGGCCGTTGCCTTCTGACCATCTGCTAAGCATCAAACACTTGGGATCTTTAGAGGCCCAACAGTTAACTCAGTTTTAACGGATCTGAGGTAAAAAGTTGGGTTGGGGACTTCGCCGTCAATGACAGGGCACATGAACGTTCTTGAGGCTTGCCATGGTGGCCCCTAAAACGCGAGAAAGGACTCTCGGAGGAGGAGTCTCTCTAAACAATAAAGGGGAAAGAAAAGCTTGTGGGATGTTCTTCTGAGAAAATCAGGAAGAGAGGGAGGTAGGGAACAGGAACAGGGCAGGTCCTCGGTGGTCACAGTGGGCGGGAGCAGAGAGACCACCGCGTGGCTGAAGGATGACTCAATACACGCAGCTTGGTACCAAGACAAACAGGGGATCGAGTCTTTGCTTTCCTTGAGAGCAGACGACACCGCCTTAGAAATGGAAGGGAACATCCTACATAAAATTAAGTAGATGAAGCACCTTTTATCTCAGAAACAGCAAAACCACTTTGGGAATGTATTCTTCCCTCTCCTCTTGGGCACGTAGGCAATAAATGGGAGGCGGGGTCATCACAGTTCAAACCCAGACTCTTCTGAGGCCGAGGCCGGGGCCATGGTGTTATTCCTCTGCCCCGCCCCCCTTCCCTGATATTGCTGGGAAAGTACACGCCATGCCCCTGGAAAACACACAGGGTGGCTAAACTCGGGTTGAGCAGGACGCTCACCTGACATCCCACAACAAAATAAATTCCATCAGGAAAAGACGGAATAGCTTAAAATAGCTCTGACACACAGAGGGAGAAAATGTGAGGATAGAGGAGAACTTTCCGGATGGTAAATCAGGATGACGGGTGGCAGGTGGTGTTTACTTAGACACCGCACTTTGAGGCTCTGAAACGGACAGGCTGGGAAGAAATAATTTTTAAAGCGAATTTGTTAAATTCACCTGCTCTTCAATTTTGATGCCATTAATGAAGCTTCTGCCAAAGACTTCCTTTTCTGCCTAACCGGATGCTTGTGTTTTCTTTATTCTCAGTGGCAATTGTGTTAATCACATTTACCCCTGTGTACACGTCCCAGCAGATCTATAAACTCGGGTAATGGATTCACTGGTTTTCAAATAATACACTTAGAGTCAACACTTGTTCCCGAGGCAGACGAAGATGCTTTCAGCGGGGCTGACAGTACCTTAAATGCCACTTGGATGATGTCCTCCGTGTTGGCAGGGTGACACAGGACAGCCAGACCAATCACATATTCTCGGAAGTCAATGCTGCCATCATGGTTCTGTGAAAGGAGGGGAAGAGTCAATGAGCAGGGCCACCAGTTGAATTACTAGTAATCACAGCACAGAGGTGACATCCAGGTATGTCACCCAGCTTGATGCCGTCATGCAGCGAGCCTACTTGGAGAAAGGTTTCTACTGAGAGGGAACAGCAGGCAAGTGGCCTGCCCATTCCCAATTCAGAAGGAGGAAAAGTATATTTCTGTTCTGTAATCAATATGAACATCTAATCATTGAGGCCCTGTAGAGAGGCTCTGGGGCGCCCAGCATGGGTTCTTGAGCTGAGCTCTCATGGAAGTACCTCTTCCAGGCAGGATCTAGGATCTTGGTGGTGGCCCTGCCATGATGGCCAACGCCAACAGATCACTAAAGGGTGACTAAGGTCACTACACAACCATCTCTGTATAGCCAATGGAAGGGAAAGGAAAGGGCAGACTCAGGCAATAATTGCAGAGAGATTCTTTCTTCCTTGCAGGCTTGATCTGCAATAAGCCAGGAGCAAGTGAGCCAACCTGAATGACTTCAATGGCCATGTGGTGATGTGAGGCCCCAGGAGACGCAGAACTTTTAAGCATCTAGCTAGTGTATTAGTATCTTTATACCTCAGGAGGTGTTTCATGGCAGTATAAGAGAAGGTGTTGATAATTCTAACCCAGGTTGGCTGAATGCACTGGTCCCTAGTTCCTACACGTGAATTACTCACCCAGACAGGAACACTGAGGATGAAATGGGGAGAAGGAAATTCCGAGAACTGTAAATAGGCCCCTATGATTATAATTCCAGATATTAGAAGCATTTGGACAGCAAAGTCTTCAAGTGATGAATTCCCAGAATGAGTGTGAACTGGTAACGAAAGAGCGAGTGTGGTACTTCGCAGAAGAACAAATGATGTTTGGCGTCACCAAGAGTGTAATCTTTAACTGTGACTGAGTATCTACGTTTCAACCATCAGGAGTTCCTTTGGGGCAAGGATTGCTGTCTCTGTGTGGCACCGTATTTCCATTGCTTAGCACACGTAGATAGGAGCTAAAAACAATACTGCCTTTTACTCCTTGACTCTTACCTACTACTTTGAGTTCACTTTAACAACTAAAGCAAGTGGGGCAGCTGGGTGGCTCAGATGGTTAAGTGTCTGACTCTGGATTTCAGCTCAGGTCATTGTCCCATGGTTCGTGAGACTGAGCCCCATGTCGGGCTATGACAGTGCAAAACCTGCTTGGGATTCTCTCCCTCCTCCCTTGCACTCTTTCTCTCTCTCATTAAAAAATAAATAAAAACTTTAAAAATTAATAAATAAAACTGAAGCAAGTGTTCTTCACTGGGGTTTTATGAATGAGCTTGGGGAAAGGGGAGGCTGCAAAGCCCCTGAAGTGGTATGCAGTTTTTGTGTGTGCATTTTTCTTTTTTTAAAATATTTTTCATTAAAAATTTTTTTTTAATATTTCCTTATTTTTGAGGGAGAGAGAGAAACAGAGAGTGAGCAGGGAAGGAGCAGAAAGAGAGGGAGACACAGAATCTGAAGCAGGCTCAAGGCTCTGAACTGTCAGCACAGAGCCCGATGAAGGACTCAAACTCACAAACCACGAGGTCATGACCTGAGCCGAAGTCAGACACTAAACTGACTAAGCCACCCAGACGCCCCTGTGTGTGCATTTTTCTAGGGAAGAAAATTGCAGCTTTTGCCTGCTTCTCAAAGCAACCAAGACTCAAAAGATCAAGAGCCACTTTTACCTTACCACTTTATCTTACTGCAGGGCAAGACTAAAAGGAGAAGCAATTTAACTTCCCTTTCCCATCAGAGAAAATAAAAACAAAAGACATTTCAAGACTTCCCTTAAGTAACACAGTTTATTCTGGAGACAAAAACTCAGGTCCTCTGACTTCCATTTTTGTCTGGTTATCTATAAGGGGATTGTCTTCTTGATTTGTTCGAAAAAGCGTTAACTTAAAAAAATGTATCATTTGCATTTGATGAAAAGCACTCATTTTAAGTGTGCAGTTGATGTGCTTTGACAAATGTATATGCCAGGGTAACCACCACTGCCACAATGAATTATCTACAGCGTTTTCATCACCCCAGAAATCTCAGAAATGGTAGAGTTTTGAGTGACATTATTTTCTTCTTGGGCCAGCACCATTTTACTTCCCTACGCACCATGGGGGCAGCTGTTCATCAGCCTGGGAGGCCCAGCAACTTTCTGAACCATATATGTATTGTTCAATATAGGCACAGTTGTTCCGCAATTGGCTTTCTCGATGAAGCAACATAGGGGCCTTGAAATAGAAGTTCTGAAGAACAGATAGAAGAATGGTCTGTGGACACTGAATACATCATAGATTGTATGACGGGGACTATGCTTTTAAATTTATGTTGTCTCTTTATTGTGAGGCATCCGGTTTTTATCTTTACCACCGAACCCTATGCAAAACACAGGCCAAGCAATAGAACTCATTTTTCGGATAGAGAAAGAGAAATATAAAGGTCTCTTCACGTTACCACTATTCACAAAGCAAAGTAATATTCTGGACCTCTTATCTATGAATGGTTTTGGCTGACAAAAAGAAGCAGACCTTTGATAGTCAATCACATGAGAAATTATATGTTAAATTTTCATCTTAGTAATGTGAGAAGGGGAAAGAAGCATGGGAATCATTCTTAGGGATTTTATTATCGGATTAATAAAACAATACACTGTTAAGTTCCCAACTTTAAAACGATAAGACTTGGAACTGGAAGGAATCTTAGAAATCGCTCATTCGATTAATTCATTTTTACTAATAAAAAAATGAATTCATTTTTACTTATAAAAAAAGGGAGATTTTGAAATTTTCACATGGTACAATTTCACATGCTTTTAAAAAACTGCTGAGTAATCTTTTCTCTTTTTAAAAAACAGTTATTTATTTATTTTGAGAGAGAGAGCAGGGGAGGGGCATAGAGAGAATCCCAAGCAGGCCCTGCACTGTCAATGCAGAGCCTGATGTGGGGCTCTATTCCACTTTACTTGACATCACAAAACTTGCTATTATCATTAACTACAGTTAAAATTTAGGTAATGAGATTCCCAATCATTCAAATTAAAGCAAGTGGTTTAAGGGGCGCCTGGGTGGCTTAGTCGGTTAAGCGTCCGATTTTCGCTTAGGTCATGATCTCGTGGTTCGTGGGTTTGAGCCCCGTGTCGGGCTCTATGCTGACTGCCAGCTCAGAGCCTGGAGCCTATTTTAGAGTCTGTATCTCCCTCTCTCTCTGACCCTCCCCTGCTCACACTGTCTCTCTCTCTCTCTCTCTCCTAGAAATAAATAAAAAAAAAATTAAAAAAAAAAGCAAGTGGTTTAAAAATATATATTCAAAAACAAATAATAAACAAGTACACAACCAAGTATACTCCTTTAATCTTTTAATTTCCAATCAGTTCCATGATAAAGATTAATCCTCAAATCTGTGGTTCTTTTCTTTAAAAACCTATTGAACTTCTCTGGAAAAATTATAAACTTAAAAAAAAATCTAGACTTGAAAATATTTTAGGGCCACATTTCAAAGGAGACCATCTTTTCGGAAGGTGACCCTAATCCCTCCATAATCTGTCCTAATCTGGAAGCCAGGACTGCCCCACGTAGGAATCGCGGATTTGGGCTGGATCACTGCAAATAGAAGGGGTGGCCAAGCCTGGCTAAAGCTCCTGGTGGTGGGCCCCATCCCTTCCCTGGTGGTCAGCGGGGTCAGAGGAGCATGGAAGCGAGGGCTAGTGGTCACTGTGACCACAGCATCCCTGCGACCTGGCAGCCCCACAGTCAGTCTACACTGGCTTCTAGGACCAATGAGAGTCACTCTAGATTGGCTTCTAGGACCAGTGGGAAGTTCCAGACCACATGTTCAAACATGGCCCACTTAAAACTGCAGGAGGGACAAATGGTGATTTTCCTGTGTCTGATTCTTAGGTATCCATTCCCAAAAGCTTTTCATAGTTGAACTTATTCAACATTTTTATTTCTACAGAACCAGATATGTTTTACAATCTTTGAAGTCCAGCAACATTTAAGGGTATGGTTCTGAATACATTTTGAGATGGTAAACTCCCAAGGATAGGACTACATTCTCTTTGGTGTGTTATCACTGATATTGCCCGTGCCGATGAGAGATCATCAATGCCAACAAAATAATTTAAAAGTGCTTGCATAAAAACAAAACTTAGTAGCACCGGCCAACAGAGAAAGGTTTTGAGTCCTTGAAGATACTCTACAAATCCAAAGGAGTTCTATTATTAAAAAACAGTAAATTCTCAGTTTTCCAGAGGAGTCTGGAAAGAGGCATTCTGTTTACTCGAATATTCTTATTAAGCGCGCGTTTCTACCCACCTCTGTAATTGTATTACCAATTTTCCAGGAATTAAATTGCTTTAATCCACTTAGCGTTAAACACAGACACTTTTAAGAAGTAATTCTAAAAGCACCTCAAGATCAATAGCTTGTTAAAATATCAGGGCCCTGCAGGTGCATCTGTGAATATTTTTTAAAGCCCCATTGTGAGTTAGTTGCGCGATATTACCGATGAAATTTCTGACTTAAAAAAAAATCAGGATTTAAAAACACATGCACTACTACTCAAAAGATATTTAAAATGTGACCTTTAAGATGATGTATACATTTTGAATATTCTCAGAGGTTTGCTTTTCTTAGGTACAGAGCATGTAACTCTTTTTTTCTGCTGTTACAGGTTAAAGAATCCAATGGATTATATTAAGATAAAGATGTTTTTCAAAATCAAATGGGAGATTTTGAAATTACAAAGTGTAGATGATACAGTTTCACATGCTTTTTAAAAATCACTGGGTATTCTTCTGTCTTTTTAAAAAAACATTTATTGATTTATTTATTTTTAGAGAGAGAGGGAGAGGGAGAGTGGGAGTGAGCAGGGGAGGGGCAGAAAGAGGGAGAGAGAGAATCCTAAGCAGGCTTCTGTCCCATAAACCATGAGGTCATGACCTGAGCTGAAATCAAGAATCAGACACTTAGTGCACTAAGCCACTCAGGTGCCTCACTGAGTATTATTTTCAACTTACAACATCAATTGTATTGCTTAATGTTAGAAAGTGAAAAATAATGGGATGGAGTGATATGAATCAAAGATGTTTGTCTTAGGCTGTAAGTAGTCTTCCATGTAAAAATGGTAATTTTTAAAAAGTTTATCATGTAAATACTCCGTCTTACACTAAAAATGTGCCTTTAGGGGTGCCTGGGTGGCTCAGTCAGTTAAGCATCCGACTTCAGCTCAGGTCATGATCTTGTAGTCCATGAATTTGAGCCCTGTGTCCACCTCTGTGCTGACAGCTCAGAGCCTGGAGCCTGCTTCTGATTCCGTGTCTCCCTCTCTCTCTGCCCCTCCCCTGCTTGTGCACACACTCTCTCTCTGTCTCTCTCTCAAAAATAAACAAAAAATTTAAACATCAACTGTTGGATAAAAACTAAGAAATTCAATCACTTGTCAGGCTGTTGCTTCAAGTTTGGGGTACTTAAAAAAATCCAAAGTTGAGACTGGATTTTCTAATGTCTACTCTAGTGACTGCGGTTATCTGTACAACTGTTCTACGAATTCAGAAGGGACCAGAAGAGAAATGCAGGTACCCTCGGGATGTTTTGCCCCATGCAGTCAGGAAGAGAATCGGAAAGGCAGATAATCCCTTGACCCCTGAGGAGCAAGGAAAATACTTAATATTACCTCCCTTGCGATGTACCTGTCTTAACTTTCAGAAAATATTTAGAATTAAGTGAGGGGGGAAAAAGTGCGGGTCTGTTGCCCTTTCTACAACCATCATGTAGAAAGGTTAAACAATAAGCGTGATATTCTGAGACCTTAAAAGGCATCTTGGCGGCTTTCCCCTTTCTTGGCTGTATTCCAACACTCATGCCTGACATCTGAATGGGTTGATTCTAAAATAGTGATCCTGGTATTAACGTGTGGTTGCTGGCATCAGCCTCGTTCTGGTATGGCCATCCCTGGTGTAAGCAGCACACCAGAGCAGGCTCAAGTTACAAGTCCCTCTCGGGAGGTGGCTGTGGTGGCCTCTGTGCTTGGTTCGGTGCAGGATTATACACACGTGGCAGTGCGTAAATATTACACGAGGATGATGATGGTGAGTAACGAGGCCAAATGCTGACCTCTCCTAATTTCACTGGGGATTTCTCACCGGCAGCTGTGGCATTGACCTCTATCAAGTCCATAGTTATGCTTTCCTCTAAATGAGTTGATAGAGGAAGGGAGATTTATCTTCAAACACAGGAGGACCCTCCAAGATAGCCGTAGAGAGAGGGAGTGCATTAACAGCCAGAGAAGCGGGAGGGGTAGAGGCCAATTAAATAGCAGGCGAGGGGCCTGGGCACTTGCCTACACAGCCCCCATAGCTGAGTCAAATGGAAGAGCCAAACCAAGGGCCACACTCGAGAAAGGCACACCTGCCCTGGCTGGCCACCATGGCTGATCACCGGAATCACCTGGGGAGCTTTAAAAATACTCATCTTTTCGGGGCACCTGGGTGGCTCAGTCAGTTAAGCGTCCGACTTCGTGGGTTCGAGCCCCACAATGGGCTCTGTGCTGACAACTCAGAGCCTGGAGCTTGCTTCAGATTCTGTCTCTCTCTCTTTCTCTCTGCCCCTTTCCCGCTCGTGTTCTTTCTCTCTTTCTCTCTCAAAAATAAACATTTAAAAATAAGAAAAAAATAACCTTCATCTCTGGGCCCTACCTCTAGAGATAGATTCTTCTTGAACTCATTTGGAGTCGGAGTCAGGCATTAGTAACCACGAAGAGCTCTCCCTGTCATTCTGAAATGCAGTCAGGGCTGAGAACCACTATGATAATAACAGTCAACAATATTTATAAATCTTTACATATCTCTATATTGCTTAAAATGCCAAATAACTGATTACAACTTACGTAAGCTCTTCTTTGTTTTTCCTTTGCTTACTTTTCTTCCGTCTGCAGTTTTCCGAGAGGAACAAAACAAAAAGCTCTGAGGCAGGGCAAGATGTGACAAGAGCTGGCCAACATGAGCTGGGCATGCCTGATTTTGTACTAAGTGCATGTAAGAATGATTAAGCCTGACAGTTTGGATTACAGGTCTGCCCCTCATTCTCCAATGCCCTGACCCTCTTTACAAATACGCCAACACAAAACAAAGTTGCTGCATGCTTATTTTACTAGAGAAACAGGAATCCAAGAATTTCTGGAATTTTAGAGAGCCGCTCCACCATTAAAAACATATATATATATACTTCCCTTATGTGGCACTGCTTCTTTCCTCATTTCTGAACTTGTTCCTATACAGTTAAATAGGTTTCCAGGAAAACATCTTTTTTTTTTTTTTTTTTTTTAACATAATGAAAAGAGCAGATGTGAAATTAGAGAAAAACAGATTTCAAACTTCCCTCCTCCTCACCTTTTTAAAGGGAAAATAGATCTCTGGAGGGCTTTCTTGATTTATTCCAGGGGTTTTTCAAAATTACATCCTCAACAACAACAAATTTCCTGCTCCTTGGAACTCATTCACCAAATAAGCGATGACCTATTAAAATCCACTCCGTTGGGGCTCTGCCCTGCACCAACCCCCAACATACACATACATGTCCATATGTATCCAGTACCTCAAGAAGCTGACATACAAACCACTCAACATCTTTCATAAAAAAATCTGTTTTAATGAAGCGGCAAAGAGCAGCCCCGGTTCAGAAGCATGCAAGGTGGCTTAAGAGCTTGCAGGAAATGACAGCTGGTGGGCCAGGTGTCGGCCACCGTGCAGACGGCATGGCTAGGCTTTCGGCAGTCCCTGTGCTCCGGGAGGGCGCCCACCTCAGGAATACATGGTCAGCTGCAGCCATTCCTGGATGGACACTTGAACTAGACCATCTGCATCTCTATCCAGAGACCTGAAGGCCCGGAACATGGCATCCAGGCGGACCAGGCAGCTGATGAAATTGTTGAAATCCATGCTTCCATCCTCATCGGCATACCGGCGGATGATCATCTGGTAAAGCTGCTCATTCAGCTGGAACCCCGCTGCCTGGAGAGCCCCTCGCAGCTGAGAGCTTCCCAGAGCCCCAGAACGGTCCCGGTCATACTGCCTATAAACGCACTGCCACTTCCTGATGTTGTTCCAGAGGTACTTAAATTCCTCGAAGCCCAGCTTGCCGGTCGCGTCGCTGTCCATCACAGACACAATGCTCCGGCAGGTGTCGAGACTAAAGCCGTCCGTCTTCAGATCCTTGTGCTTAGAAAGGACCTTGTTGAGAATATTCATGAGGTCGGTGGCACCCACCTCCATGTCTGGCCCCGCCAGCTGTGCAAACTGTTGCCGAAACCGACGGACCTCCTCGCTTTCGTTGGCTTCCACGTTGGTGAAATGCTGTTGGGTGGGAGGGGGCTCTGGGGTGTACTGAGCTGCGGCAGCCTCGCTGATGAAATTTACAATCCCTCCGACTATCCCGCCAATATTTCTTCCTCCTCCTCCTCCTCTTCTCTGACCACCTCCTCCAAGAAGGCCTCCAAGAGCTTCCCCAAGACCTCGATCGGCCCCTTCCAATAAAGCCTTTGCCAGAAACATGCTTTTGGTTTAACAAGTGAGTGTAAAGCGACTGATATCTTGGAGATGGTGTGGAGAGAGCTGAAATGGAGTCTCATTAGCTTACAGGTGGAAGAACTGGCTTTTCTGTACCTGCTAACAGGGCGCCACGCCCCTCCTGCTGAATGCCTGACTTCCATTAGGTCCTAGCACCTGCCAGTTTTTACAGGGCCTCGATAAAATACTCCCAAGCTATTGTGTGCATGACAAATTACCAAAAATACTATTTTAAAATGTAATATATTAAAATACACGCTTCTGTACACCAGTGATTTCTCCACATCTGAAAGATGACACGCATTTTCCTAACAGAAGCTAAATGATTCAAAGATATCAAAAAATGTTTTTCCGATGGAGGATTTGTTGTAAGGGCAGAACGGGAGAATGGTTCCCTAATCCCTTTCCTTTAGCAAAGATTCCCCAAGTCCAATGTTCCTAAGAAAAACTTGGAAGAGGGAGGGGGGATTAAGATGCAGGGTCCCCAGGACCCATCCTTAGAGACTCTGACTCTGTAGTCTGATGTTGGTCTAATGATCTACACTTTTGGAATCTTTTCTGAAGTGTAACAGGCATATGCAGAGCTCAGAGAATTTCATGCCCTGTACACACCCATGTTTTCACAGCCAGATCAAGAGATAGAATATTACCACACCCCAGAACCTCTTTCCTCCCAAGAGTAACCACTACTCTGATGGTGAACACCATAGACTGATTGCTGTACCTTAAATAAATGGAATCATACAATATATACTTCTTTGTGCCTTGTTTTTAAAATTTGAATTAAAGTTTCTAAAAACTGCGGTGGAATACATAGAACATGGAATTTACCATCCTAACTGTTTTTAAGAGCTCAGATCCATGTCATTCGGTATATTCATATTATCGTGCGACCATCTGTACCATCCATCTCCGGAAACTTTTTCATCTTCCCAAACTGAAGCTCTGTCCCCGTTAAATCCCAACTCCCCATTCCTTCTTCCCGCCAGGCCCTGACAACCACCATTCTTACTTTTTGGCTCCATGGACTTGACTGTTTTAGTGTACCTCGTGTAAGTGGAATCACATAGGACTTGTCCTTGGGTGACCAGCTAATTTCACCCAGCATGATGGGTCCAAGGTCCATCCATGTTGTAGCATGTGTCAGAACTTAATTTCCTTTTTACAGCTAAATAATATTCCACTATATGTGGAGAACACATTTTGTTTAGCTACTCATCTGTTGGGGAGGTTGCTTTTGTGAATAATGCTATCAATGTGGGTGGACACGTATTTCTTCAAGTTCCTGCTTTCAATTCCTTGGAATATTTACCCAGAAGTAGAACTGTTGGATGATATGGTAATTCGGTTTCTGATTTTTTGAAGAGCCTCCATACTGTTTTCCATGGTAGCTCTACTATTTTACAGTTCCCCCAACAGTGCGTGAGGTTCCAACTTCACACCCCAGACAACACCTCTTCCTGCCCTCCCTTCCTTCCAGCTGTCCTGACAGTGACCATCCTAATGCCTCAGAGGTGCTAATATCTCATTATGGGTTTTGATTTGCATTTCCCTAATGATAACAGACTATCCCCTCATTACTGATTTTTGTGTCTGGCTTTTTTTTGCATTTGTGAGATTTGCTTTGATTTTTTTAGGTAAGTATCTGAAGTCAGTCTATGACATGCAATCCCTCACAATACTCTGGGGGACCCTATCTTAGATACGAGCTAGAGAGGGAGGGCCCCAGCCCATCAGAGGTCTCTGGAAGGTCTGCTGGTGAGCTCAGGGAAAGGTGGCTAGGACATAATAACTAAATCATCACATCCCTTAGCATTTTGGAAATCAATTTCAAATCTGCAAAATGATGGTAATACCATCTCTCTGCCTCCTTCCTAATGACTCAATGTCATTTGTTAGGTATCAGGACTTGGACTCAGTGTTTAGGATACAGAGGTGAATATACATCAGGACAGCTGTGCTCAAGGACCGAGGACGCCCACCGAAAACTAGTTGCAATTATAACTTTATGTCTGTGTTCACATTTCTACTATTAATACTAAACTCTTACATTTGCATGTAGCATTCTTTGGTGTTTAGGTATCACAGAATTCCTCTGAAAGACAAAACACTCGCAATAAGGAAAGAAAACTTCAGGGAAGGTGGGCTACTGACGAAAGGTGGGGTGCTGTATTATCAAGCATGCTGGGTGCCCAAAAGGGAAACGGTGAATTCTGCCAAGGAGAGCATTTACCTACACATGTGCAGGCCTACCTACAGGGCTACCCAGAGCTCTTCGAACAGATGACCGATGAGAAGAGACAGCACAGCCAAAATACAGAGGGGCTAACAGGACGTGTGGTCTTTAAGTGACAGACCAACATGATGACAGTCCATGGCCGGGCACAATGGGCAATAAACGCAGATCCCCAGACCAGACTCGGGCTGGAAAGGGCTTTGAAGTGCCGTGTGACAGCCGACCTCTCCGTGGGAGCTACCGAGGCTCGGGTGTAAGGTTGAAAGGAGATGAGCTGTGAAGTTACTGTGTACGCTGTACAGTTCTGGAATTGAAAGATGGTTGGTCCAGCTAGTGTTAGGGAGGGAACAGTAGCTGGGGGACGCTGCTCTGTTCAGGGCATCGGAGCGAGGTCTCCTCCTGCCACACCCAGTGGTTTGTGTAAAACTCTCCCAAAGACTGGGTTTATGACACAGTGACTCCAATAACTGGTCTCATGGGCACAATGAAATGGCCTCTGTGAACACCAAAGGCCGAATGTCTTCCTTAACCACACAGAAGAAAGCACCACAAAAGGGTTATCTTCGTTTTAGGGGATCACAGGGCCATCTGGCCGCAGACAGATTGGAATCCGTTCCCATGAGCTCCCCTCAGAGGAAATTATATGGGCTTTGTTTTTTATAATATTGCGAATTAACTTGAGAGCCACCACCACCGCATAAAACATGCCTCCTCGTGCCCAGCTGAAGTGGTTTGCGCTGAGGCTTAAATCCAATTCCCCTCCTTTACTTTCCGTGAAGATGGAGGGCATTTGGCTAACAGTTTCTCATAAGCCATCCTGGAATAAAACACTGCTATTAGATTAACAAGCCTTTTCTTCTCTGGACTATTTAATCCCCTGAGGCTATTTATTAGAACATTAATAGCCACTTTGGTTGCAGTCTGGGGGAACTAACTCTACTGTCCAGATCTGGAGGAAGAAAGAGTAAGGGAAGAGAAAATTCAGACTCCATGTGAGGGGGGGAAGTTACTGAACTTAAAGCCTACACAGTGATACATACAGGAATTCCATTAGCAACATTATTCATAATGGCCCCCAAGTAGAAACAACCTGAATGCACCAACCGGTGAATAACCCAAACACAGTGTATCCAGATATTGGGTGTTATTTGGCAATAAAAGAGGACAAATTACTGATCCCCGCTACAGCAAGGATGGCCTGCAAAAACGTTACGCTAAGTGACAGAAGCCAGACACATGAGACCATATTCTGTATGATTCCAATAAGTGAGACGTCTAGAAAAGGCAAATCTGTAGAGACAGAAAGTCTTTCTTCTAGACTAGGTCTAGAATCACACCTTAGGACTCACAACTCTGTAATGGTTGCCCAGGGTGGAGAGGCAGCTGACGACAGGAACTAACACTTAACGTCACAAGGAGACACCATGGAAATGTTCTCAGACTGATTTATGGTGATGGGTGCACAACTTGGCAAATTTACTCCAAAAATCATTGAATTGCAGGCTTGAAATGGTGAATGATATGTTATGCAAAAGAAAAACCACCTCAAGAAAGTTATATATAGGGGCGCCTGGGTGGCTCAGTCGGTTAAGCGTCCGACTTCGGTTTAGGCCATGATCTCACGGTTCATGGGTTCGAGCCTCGCGTCAGGCTCTGTGCTGACAGCTAGCTCAGAGCCTGGAGCCTGTTTCGGATTCTGTGTCTCCCTCTCTCTCTGCCCCTCCCCTGCTCACGTTCTGTCTGTCTGTCTCTCTCTTTCAAAAAAAAGCATTAAAACAAAAGAGAGTTATATATACGTACATATATGTACGTATATATGCATACATATACATACGTATACATATGTAGGGCCCGACTGTGTCTCAATAAAACTATACTAGCAAAACAAGCATCAGGCTGGATTTGGTCCATCAGCTGTAGTTTACTGACCGCTGCTCTATTTCCTAAGCTGATGAAAACAAAGCATGTTGGTAAGGTTTAAGGACTGATTGAGAGAGCGTGGTCAGTCTTTAGAGTGCCCACTGTTAATCTGCAGGATACCCTACATCCCACATTTGATTTAAAATCTCAACAGAGAGGGTTTGAAGTAAAAAGAATACTGACGAATAGTTCTAGTCTCAGTCCTGAAACGGAGCAGCTCTGTAGCTCTGAGCACATTACTTCCTCTCTCTGGCTGGCCACCTTCTGCAAAATGAGGAAGGCCCTGTCGGCGCTAGAATTCTAGGAGTCTGGAATTTCACATGTCCTGAAATGGTGATGGTGGTGTCATTTCTACCTTGCCTTTCCTTTCCTTCTGGTGCCCAAGTGTTTTTATGCTACATGTTGACTTCATCTTCCTTTTTCTTGGGTCTGGCTCCACCACTTTTAAGGACATACCCTCATCCCCACTTTGACACACTGTCTGGTTTTCAAAAGTGTTCCTGGTGGCGACCCATCAAGAACGCCAAGATGGGGGTGCTGGACCCAGAAGAACATACAAGTTCCCACTTGCAGCGAAGCCTTTCTGGGGTGGGATGGGTGGTGGGGACTTCCACCTCACTGCAGCATGATCTGGACCAGACCTTCCTAATTTATTGATGAGGATGTCATGTTGGATGAAATCAAAAGCCTTTCTAGAGCCCATATAGATAATATCTATTTCTTCTTATCATTGTGGACCGTCACTCAGTCATAGGAGGAAATTAAATTGGTCTGACACAATTTGCTCTTTACAAAGCTCTGTTCTTTACTTCCTTATGCTCACAGAGGAGGCCAGTGATTGCTCGCTTGCACTAATAAAAAAAAGTTAAGCTTTAACTCATGTAGCCTCCTTTCTGTTTCTTCTAAGCACCTCCTACATGTGCTTGCATTGAGGAGTCAAAAAATGTATAATTCTCATACTTAAGTGGATATTCCTAATGGAACAACACTCAGTGAGAGAAAATACCATAATGGATTGAATGGAGGAGCTCAGTCAACCGGAGACGTGAAGAAGGGAATGGTCAGACATACAGGACCACCAAACATTTAGGACAACTCATATGACTGCATAGAAAGAAGCTTATAGCCTTTTTCTGTTAATTGTGTCGTATAAGTTATAGGTAGCTTTCATATAACAAATCCTGCTTATTTGAGACTTAGAATCAACCGGAGTTCTTTTCACATGAGCTAGGAGATACTACATTACAAATCAAACCTGAGCTGGAAATTTAAAGGAGAGAAGACTTCACTGTTGGTGAGTATTCACCTCTGCCACTGTAGAGAGAAAGCAGCCACAGGCAATCCATAGATGGATGGGCGCAGCTGTGTCTCAATAAAACTTTATTAAACAAAACAGGCATCAGGCTGGATTTGGTCCATCAGCTGTAGTTTGCTGACCGCTGCTCTATTTCCCAAGCTGATGAAAACAAAGCATGTTGGCGAGGTCTAAGAACTGAGAGACCGTGGTCAGGCCTTACAATGCCCACTATTAATTTGTAGGATACCCCACGTTTGATTTAATAGTGACCACCCTTTATTCTCTTCTTTATTTCTTTATTCTTTAGTCTTGTCTCCTCTGTCTGCCTCTTGCTGATAACCCTCCCTTGGCTCTACTAGTGTTATTTGTCTTTATAGATGAGAGAGACTGATTTCGAACTCCTCAGCTATCTATAGTCTAGCATGAGCTCATTATCTTTTTTACCAGTAACACTGCATAACAGACCATCGCCTGATAAAATTTAGGTAGGTGGTTATTCTTTCCATTCTGTAAAAGAATGGAAATTTTGAAAAATGTCATGATTTTTTCC